TAACGGAACTTAGAATAAAAGGGGTATACCGATGAATGTCCATTTTGTATCTGTGTATTCAAAATGGTTAGGATAGATATATAGTTACATTCTCTTAAAGAATAGAATTATTTGTTCTAATGGTGTTTGTAAATAGGATCTCAAGTCCGCATCTTGTACAGCAATTAACCACTAAGAAGAATATATGCAGTGTGTTAGTTACTGAAACTGTCCTACCGATTTGATTTGAAACTGTCTCTTTGCTGTTTATCAATAAAATTATGAAAAAAAAAAAAAAACCCACTCCCAAATAATGCTACTGCTAGGAAAGCAGTTTTTATTTTTGTTATTTGGTTCCTTCTTTTAACAGAGACAAAAGGTGAGACCTTCGGGTGTCGGGCCACCTCCTTCATCTCCTCCTGCGCCTCAGGAACATTCACAGGGATCACGTCCTTCTTCAGCAGCGCCACATACCTTGGGGCCACAGGGTCAATGACCTGCAATGAGCACAGCCACGTCACAGTAGAGACTGCACCACAAGTACAAGAAGGCACAGCACAGCATGGCAACTGGCTTTCTTTGTTACTGCATTTACTAATTTTTTGGTTCATCTGACACTGCTTCAGTAATATTTAAATGTCAAGTAGAAAAAGGGAAAGGAATCATAAGCCAAGATGACAGGATCGATTCAGAGTCCCTTCCCAAGAATAATTTGGCAAACGAATAGAAACATTCTGAAAATAATCCTCCAATCTGGTATCTGCAGTGGAGAACCCTGTGGGATCCACATTAGTCCTTAATATTAAAAGATGTTCGATTATGTATTGTTGCAGAACTCCATTTCAAGAAAATCCTGGCATCTTTAGTTCAGTATCAGTTTCTATAACCAGTGTCAGGCAAAACATTGCCATCAAAAGAAGCATGGCATTAGTCACTATAATAAGGCAACGCTCTAGATGAAAAGTGTAGTATGTCACAATCAGGTTGGGCATCCCTGAACCAAAAGTCTGTATCTGAAAGACTTCTGGTCCCAAACATTTTGGGACACTCACTACAAACTAACATATAGGAACCGATGGTTCCCCAGGCCTAGCAAGGAACATAAGGAGATGAATTTCAATTCTGCTTTGCCAGACCTGCGCCACACTCGTGCTGCCATCCATTCTACCTCCTAACAGCAGGGGGAGCCCTTCCCCACCTCACTATTGAAACCACTCATGATGACCAATCCTGACAGTAGTGTTTAGATACTATATAAAGCACTAGGGTGAAAGACACAGCTAAAACCAAATGTAGAGTCAAATAGCTAAGTACAGTTACAGTTACTCTTCCCATTTAGAAAAGTGTAGGAGGATATTATTTGACTTCTGCAAAGAGTTTTGTGGAAACTACGCACACCCCCGGAGCGGAGGCCATTCATGCAAGGTTTGTAATTTCAAACATTACCCAGCCCCTCTAAGTTCACTGGTCAACTCTTCCCTGAGACCTCAAGGTCATTCCTCCTCAGGGCCCTCCTTTCTGCATCTCCTGGGCAGTGTGATCAAACAGTTCATCTGTACCACAGCACTCAGTTTAGTGTTAGGCTGGTAAGAGCAAATTTCTTTGAAGAAACCCAAGATGGCCCTAGCTGAGGGCCCTCATTCAGTGTCCTCGGCTGACAGAGCTGAACCTGCTTAGCACAATGGGCTAATCAGGAGGCCACTGCTAGCACAGAACTGGGGTTCTGAGGTTGAGGCACAGCTCAGTAGCAGAGCACCTGCACTTGGCCAAGCCCTGTGCAATCCACAGAACTGCAGGAGGCAAAGAACTAAGAAAATAAAGCAGCGCAGAACAGAATGATGATTCACAGTCTGAAATAAAGCCTGCAAGTCTATTTTTAGCAAGTACTCTACAGTTTGGTTAGGGTCAGATGAGTTTGAGAAACGCTGAATTTTAAAAGACTTAATTCCTTTTCAGTGCCAATATCACAATTATTAAAGACTCTAAAGCAGTGGTCTTCAAATTAATCCCAGAATCCCAAATGTCGCCAACAGGTGCAGTGACATACGCAGACAGACGTCCACACAGGCAATGGGGCAAGCCCAGGGTTGGAGGGAACATGGCTCCAGCCTGCAACTGTCCAGCCACAGCCGCTCCTTTCACGTATCTCTTCTCACAGTGCAGGACAGTGCAGAGTAGCATAACAGAATATTTTTCCCACTGGCAGGCTCCACAAGTCTTCCTTGGGGGCCAGGGAGACAGTGTGTATGTACCTGGCCAGCCAGGGGCAGACGCAAGGGGGATGGGATGAGGCTTATGGAAAACTGGCAGACCACTACTAAAATACTAATGAAATTTAAAAATCAAAGCAGTAAATGAAGGTTGACAGAAACAATAGCTCTGAACCTTCAAGCTGTGACTTTTCTGCCTGGACTGGAAAGTTTAGCATGTGAGTAAAAGCAACAAGAAAATCAGCAAGGTCACTGCAAGGCCAGCCTACGAAATGCCTCCTATCGAGTCAGCACAGCACAAGTGTCTTCTTTAAAAAGTGGATCTCCGTGATAGTACATGTAACCCCAACATGGAAATACTACGCACACTTTCCTGTCAGGATGCAAAGTCAAGCCAAGAAAACAAGTACAAAATCTAGTGACTTCACCTCACCACCGACCCAAATGTCACATGCTCCTGTCTTAAAGATGACATTAAGGGTAGAATATCCTGGACTTCAACATGAACAAAGCAGACTGAGAAGACCCCTCTACTTTCACCTCTCTCCACATCACACTGAAAAGGCACAAAGGATAAGTCCAGGAGACTGGGGGACAAACTCTGGAGGCTGAGGAGACTGGGCACTTCTCCCCTGCACACAGTCAGGTGACACCTGTTCCCTACCCACATTTAGCCATGTGGTAGGTAGGAAGGGGAGGGAAGAGCCAGGGCAAGCCAAGGCATGATGGGCAGGAAAAGCCCTCAGATCTGCGCTGTGCCTCATTGCAGGGGCAGCTGCAGCAAACACCTGTGGAAGCGCTGCTAGCCCCAAAGAGGAGACAAAAGTTACTGACTAGGAGGTTTCCCAGCTAGCCCATACGTCACCTGCAGGGAAGCTCAGCTATGGCTCTCCCCAGCAGCCTCCAGTTTTAAATCTGGGCAGAGAACCAAAGCTAACCAGCATCTGAGAACTGCCTTAGTATAAAAGCGAGAACCCAAAACAACCAACCTGGAGGACAGAGATACTACAGGGAAAGAAATTTGTTTTGGGCAGTGCTGGGAACTGAACACAGAGGTACTCTACCACTGAGTTATATCCCTAGGCCTCAAAAAAAAAAAAAAAAAAAAGCAGACAAAAAAAACCCAACCCTTTTTTAATTCGAGAAGGCTTTCACTAAGTGTCCTAGGTTGGCCTCAAGCTTGCAATCTTCCCTCCTCAGCCTCCCAGGTAGCTGGGGTTATAAATGTGTACCACCACAACTTAATATTAACACTGTAACCCTAAAAATAAAAAATAAACAAACTGGAACCCTGAAGCATTAATAGGAAGTATTTTTAAAATTCAGAGACATCTTGGAAATACAATGGAATGAATGAAAAGTTCGAGAGAGTAAGCAAATAAAATTGAGTAGATCTACCAGAAATAGAGTTAGAACTCAAATTGGAACATAAGAGAGAAAAATAGAGGAGAGGCGGGTCCAGAACTCCAGCCGAGTTCCAGGAGAAAGCGTGCACAGCAGACAGGGCTCGCTGGCCTCCCATGTGGGCAGGGCGGGCTTTGGCCTCCAGCTCACAAGGAAAGGAGGAACAGGTGAGGAAAGGAAAGGAAGGGAACAGAAAATCCCAGAAAGCCTCCCAGAGTGAAAGGAACACACATCCCGGCAAGGACACAGTCCTGGGACATGGAAGGACACACACGCAGAAAGGTTCCTCGTGTGATGTCCAAGTGAAGAGTGGAGCCAGCCACACATGGCACTCTGGAAGGCCCAAGGCAAAGGGTACAAGTTCAGACCCCACTGGGCAACTTGGTGAGATGCCATTTAGGAGGTCTGAACAAAACATTTAGAAAGGGCCCTACACATAGCATCCCCAGCACAAAAACCAAGCCACATACAAGGTGTCCAAACTCTTCACGCCATGTTCCCCTTCGCAGGCAACTTCTGGGGCAGAGCACAGCAAAGCAAGAGAGTGACGACAGGTGTGGTGGCAGGCACCTGCAGTCCCAGCTACTCAGCAGGCTGAGGCGGAGAGCAGCTACAGCCCAGGCGCTGAGACGGCCCAGGAAACAACAGTGAACCCTGGCCTCAAGTGACCAAAAGAACAAGAGCCAGAATGTAGGCAAAGCAAACACCAGACAAACCCAGAGCAATTCCAGGAGATGAACCAAAAGCCGGTGGACAGCTGTGCTCAGAAGCTACCAGAGCACTAATACAGATGCATGAACAGTACAAAAGACTGGTGGAGATGTCCCCAAGACGCACCTGCAAGCATCCCCAAAGGGTATGAGGCTCTGGGTGGGAAAGTGAGTCAACTCCTGGACTTTGAGAAAAACTAGGAAAGTAAGCCAAGGACAGGGGAGAGCTGGAACTCGGCTACACAGAAAGCAAAAGGTGAGGAGAACAAGTGAATAATACCTAAGCCCCTCTCAGTAATCGTGGAAAGACAACAGAAGGCATGAGACTGAAGCTGAGCGGCACGCGCACTTCAGTTAAGGGTGTGGGCAATGAGTGCCGAAGAATCAGCGCAGAAGGAACTGAAAGCAGCTTCTCCAGGGGCAGAACAGGGAAGGAGAGGAGCGCACGCTTGTCTCCCACAGAGCCTACAGAATTCTCTGCAGTGAAATTAAAACTTCATATACTTAATGAACATCTATAACTTAAAGACTTTCTGTATATTTATTTAGACTGCTGTCAAATCTATGTAGAATATATGAAAGTGTGAACCTTTAAAAATACATAGAGGGCTGGCCAAAGAGACAGCTCAGTGGCACAACGCCTGCCTGGCAAGCCCAAGGTCCTGAGTTTGAGACCCAGTAACCCCCCCCCCAAAAAAAATGGAGAAGTTTATCAGTTATCTTCACCTGTAAATTCTACTCATGTATTATTAGTAACTGCAGCAACAGAAAGAACCAATTAATAATTCCATTAGATATCAAAAATGATCAGACACAATAAATAAAATGTGAGACACATGCAAGACAAGCAACTACTTCTTGAGGCAAGACATGAGCACATTCAGGCAGCAATCCCAACACAGGGCGCACAGAACACAATCACAGAGCTGAGTTTACCACACGGCATTAGAACGCTTTGCCTTATTATAGTGTCCAAGCACCTGCTTCCACTTAGGAAGTAGCGATGGCAATATGCAATATTCCTCATTTGATTTTCAGCTAAGAAAATATTTCATTTATTAAAAAAAAAATAATAAAGGCTGGACTCAGAGCTAGGGATCACAGTGATGGGCCTTCACAATGCGATGCAGTGTGACACGGAATGTTAAACCCACGTCCTCTCAGCATACAGGGACGGCACAGTGAAGCTAAACGAGTCTTTCCTTTGCCACTGAGACCAGAGGACACAATTTTAAAACTAGGAATAATGCGTTTTCAACGCATTTGCATTAGCAGTGCCCATTACAGATTTTATACAAATGTGATTGTGCTGTAAAGCTTATAACATCTCAGATAACACATAATATGCTTAAAGCTAAGGCAAATAAAAGCACTAAGTAATACCTTCTTACAGAGGGCTCGCAGCTTGAAAGCAGAAAAATGAAATGCAGAGTGTTCATAAAAGATATAAGGAAAATGCTATTATCACTTCCAAGTCCAAGTTGGTTTGTTTCAATTATGGTTACTTGTCAGGGTAGCTACTAGGCTTAATGCCCCTGTGCAGTATTTACAAAGGAAAACATTCCATTTTCCTGGAAGTCTACAAAATGATACCATTATTCACGCATTTCTCTACTATGGTATAAGCACACTGACTTCCACGTGAGTACCATCTGACACTTGGAGGTGAGAGAACAGGGCTGACAGTGAGACACGTACCTTTTTGTTAAATGCCCAGATTTTGTCCCATTCCATGTTCACCACGGAACGTGAGGAGCCCTTGAGAAAAAAACAGTAAAATGATTTTAAACACAGGAAGTATTCAGTAGACTGTTAGCATGTTTAGAAAAAAAGCTCAATAAATACTGCAAATTGACTTCCACTGAGATCTGAAGCTTAGCATGTGGTGTGTGCCAGGTCACACTGTGCTGTCACAGCGCAGGCTACAAAGCGGTCAGCAGCAGCCAGCTACTTCATAAGTAGAACACTGGTGCTGCCACCATCCAGCCGCAGTTAGTTGCTCGGGACACTCCCAACCACTCCCAAGGACAAATAGTGCTAATTTCTCTCCTTTAAAAGCATTTCTTCCCTCATATGGTACAGCGCAAGCAAGGGGCAGAACCAAACCACACAGTACTGCCTGCAGGGACACTGGTGCACCCTGGGAATGTAGACTGTGCGGGACTGGCCGGCTCACCTGAGCAGCAATGAACTGCTTCAGCCCCTCTACCGTCATCCCTCTCCGCAGCACGCCGCGCACCGTGGGGAACCTCGGGTCGTCCCTGGGAAACACGGACACACGTAAGCACCGAGGAGTTTCCCAACTCAGCACTTAGAGCTATTGGTATTTGGTAAGGAACAAGTTATATGTGGCTCATTAAATATTTGAATAAATAGCTCAAATACAAATTGAAGGTACCTCAGTGAGCCCAGGTTCATGGAAAAGAAAGCTGCCTTCCAAGCAAATACTACAATAACAAAGGTATTTTGGGACTAATAAAAGTGCATTTTTAGAAAGATATAATGATTGGGGTGAGGGATTTAGCTCAGTGGTACAGCGCCTGCCTGGTAAACATGAGGTCCTGAATTTGAATCCCAGTACCAAAAAAAAAGATACAATGATTACATTTTCCAATATGGAAAACCCATGCATTGGTGTACTTTTTTTCATTGCACTTAACACATGTTCAAGTTCTCTATCCTAATGTGACCATGAGAATCTGGCAGATGTGTGAACACAGGGCCAAAGACGTGCAGATTAATATTCTGTAGGGACAGCTTTTAGGAGACCCACGACAAGCTTGACTTCTCTCAAATTCAGTTCCACAGTCAAATGGCATAAAGTTTGCATTCTGTAACACATCTGCTGGTCACTATTTGCTGACAGCAGTATAACAGCAAATAGTTAAGTTCCTGGCGCCTAAGGAGAGCATGCTGATCCATGTGAGGGTCGTGTGCACCAAGTCATCTTCCCCTGCCCCCAGGCGAGCCCCACACAGTGCCCTCAGTCCACAGAAGCCTCCCGCCCCATGCAGCACTGAGGTCCAGGACGGGAGCTCCCCAAATACGACTGCTGCAGCAGCAGAAACCTTTTCCTCTCCACCTCCCTCCTGAGGTCCCACTCACAGGGCAGACGCCACAGCAGGGGCTGTAGTCACCAGAGCAGCAGGACCACAGGGCTCTCCCTCTAGCAGAGGTGGCACACCAGGTGCCAGGGCCCCCTAGGGCCTCACAGGCTGGCAGCATGAGCATGTGGTGGGCCAGCCCAGGGGCTCAGGCCTCTCCACGGCCACCTCCGCTCAGTCCTCCCAGGCTGAAGCAGTTGTGAAAACCCGGTCTTGTCTGTCAATCCTAGGTAGACACCTACCAGCCATCCACCAGCCCTTCGTTGACAAACCACGTGAGCTTTCTCTTGGACAACACCGTGTTGTTGAGATTTAGCCGACTATATTCCCAGATATATGGCTTTCTTATGCCTAAGGCTCCAATAATCCAGTAAAACTGCTCGTCTCGGTCGTGGTACTCTGTGGTTCTCAGGGCATGAGTGACACCTTCAATGCTGTCCACTATGGGGCAGGCAAAATCATACGTTGGATATACACTGGAAAAAAGTTTTTGAAAGTCAGCATACAACACCCATGCTTCTCAGAACAAGTGGTCACAGGCAGCGAGTCTTATCTAAACCCTAACTTGTCCCCAGTGAAGAGTGCCTCAGGAGACAGCAGGTGTTCCCAGCTGGGAGTGGTGGCTCACGCCTGCAATCCCAGCACTCAGGAGGCTGAGGCAGGGTTGCAAGCAGAGACCAGCCTATGCTGCAGCAAGTTAAAGGCCAGCCTGGAGTACGTTGTGAGACCTACTTCAAACAAACAAATTAACAGATTTTATAACTTATAATACTCAAAGTCTATCAAAATACTAGGTTTTCAAAAGTCAGCTGCCCACTTAATAGTCAAACAAAAAAACAAAATTTGTGGGGCCGGGGAGATGGCTCAGTGGAATAAGCGCTTCCTTAGCAAGCACAAGGGTCTGAGTTCAATCCCTGGTTCTGGAAAAAAAAAAAAAAATTGTGATTTAATACACAATTGGTTTGGCAAATTCTAAAATTCTACCTGTACTGGGCAACATTTATCATGGTAGGAAGCAATAAGCAATACCCAGGCTGAGTCGAGGGCTCCAGCTTTTGCACACTACCGCTCAGCCTTGCAGGAAACCCAAGGGTCTCCGAGGGATGCAGTGCAGCACACTTAATCATCAGTCGGGCAAGGCAGTGCGTGCCTACTCGGGAGGCTGAGGTAAGAAGACTGCAAGTTTAAGTCCAGCCAAGGTAACTCAGTGAGACGCCATTTGACAATTCAGTTGGGTGGAGTAGGCATGTGCCCCGTGCTAGAGCACCTGCCTGGCACACACAAGGCTGTGGGCTCAATCCCCAGGACTACCCAATAGAACCAAGCACTTAGTCAGGTGCAGGGGCACATGCCTATCATCCCAGCTACTTCAGAGGCTGAGGCAGGAGCATCACGAGTGAGACCAACTGGGCAACAGTGAGACCAGGTTGCAAACAGGGAAACACAAAGAATAGAGTGCTTTGCAAGGTGAAAAAGGAAATTATGCTAATTAAAATCCCACTTATGATGGATAGTCTTAAAAACAATTTCTGCTTAAAATGTTACATGACCAGGGATATAGGTCAATGGCATAAATACCTGCCTGGCAAGTACAAGGTCCTAAGTTGATTCCCAGTACAGGAAAAAAATTCCACTGAAAATAAGATATAGATACAGTATAAATTTTCCACTTTTATAAATACATTACTGCATTATATCTTCTAGTTTTTAAAATAAGACCTAAGCTACCGCTGCACTGTGATTTGTAGTCACTTGCCACCAAAAATGTGTATCTCACAATCTCTTTCCACAAGCATTCAAAGCATTTGCTTATGCAGTAATCACCGTGTGCAGACAGACAGACCTACATGCAAGCCATATGCGTACACGCCTTGCACAGGGATCCCTAATGAAACCTGAGTTTAAAGAAAGGTCCAGCCAGACCATCATTTGTGGGAATTTCACCCCAGTTATTTCAGAAGTTATATCCTGGCATTTGTATGTACATACTTCCTTCTTCAAAATATCGCAAAAATTATATTCTATAGTTTACATAAAATAAAGATTTGGGACAGAATGAATCTGCGTAAAGAAAAAAAATCTATTATGTGCAAAAGCTTTGGGTTTAATAGATCCCAAACAAACAAAAACAAAAGCACAAGTTCTATTACCTCAAAAACCTAATCAAAAATTAAAAAACAGTGCTACTTCCTTGTATTGGTGTGTTGGTCACACCTCCGTAACTATACTATGACTTTCTGCTTTCAGCAGTGAACTTACACCCAGCAAGGTGTGTCCATCAGGGACCCTGACCTCAGCCGGGGGTGGGGGAGGCCAAGAAGTGACGTCCTTCACCTGCACCCACTCCATGAGAAGCAAAGGAGGTGGGAGTAAGGACATTTATACACACAAGCATCTAAGAAATAACCTATGAGCGACCTCAACGGAAACAACCACTGCCGAGAAGCCCTGAGGAAAGGCGGCCAGGCCAGGGAATGCCAGGATGGACAGGTATGACGCTTCTGCTCCATGTGGAATGGAAACCAAGTGGCAGTGCAGGAAACACTTACTTGTATCGACTCCTGGTTCTCGGGTGAGGTTGAATTTTGCAGCGATAAAGGGTGGGGTCCCTCATGCACCCGTTGTTACTACTCATGTCAATCTTAGCTCTCAAACAGCAGGACTGACCAAACTGGCTCCCTTTTTTCATTTCTTCCCACATCTGGAGATTCTTCTCAACAGCTATAAAATGACATACGACAACTTATCTAAGGTGTTACTGATGTGAATTAAAATTACTTCAGAAGTTTTATTTGATTCAAGTTTTCCTACTGCACTGTAAACAGATTTCACGGGTTTAAAAACTGTAGTGATTACAGTATCAAATGGCAAAGGCAAACACAGCACTTCCTTATAAAGGAGGCCTAATGCACATCTGGGGACACCCTCCCTCCCAGCAGCAAGCTCCAGAGGACAGCAGAGGAGAGGCCACATAGGCTGCCGCCTCGGTTCCCCAGCACGGTGAGGATGCGCAGCCCCATGGTCCTGCCCAGCTGGGATTGCCAGCCTCCTCCTCTTCCCTCATGCACAGCAGGGCCTGCAGAGCAGATGGTTCTCTTCCTCCGCTGCCTCTCATGAACCTGGGGACAGAATGTCGGGCCTAGCCCTTGGGGCCCACGGGCGTTGGCGCTGCAGCCCGTGCCCGTCTGAAGAACACGGCTCGGGCTGAGAGCCTGGGCCCGGGGGCTCCCTGAAGGTCCTCTTGTCCTCCCAGGGAGAAGCAGGAAGCATGTGGATCGAAGGAAGTAAGAGCTGACAGAAAACAGCGATACAGGAAAAAGTACTCTTCTCCCAGGTACCTGTGCTCCCACCACATCAGAACCCTGAAGCCGGGGACATGCGAAGAAGGAAGTGCCATTAAAGACACTGGCCCAGGGACCACCAGGGATGCCATAGTGTTTCACCCACACACAAAGAATCAAGCGCGGGCTGGTGAGATGGCTCAGTGGTCTAAAGCACCTACTTAGAAGAAGCTTAGCAAAGCACAGGGACCACGGTTCAATCCCCAGCACCACATGCCAGCCAGCCCCGCCCCCTGGTGGGCTGAGCTGGCCACACACATACACACACAAATAAATAAATAAAAATTAAAAAAAAAAAAAAAGAATCAAGCACACCTGCAAGTCTACTCATGAACTACCTTGGACAGTTACATTTTAAGCTATGTGTAGAGGTTTTGACAGTTTCCAGGAGGCATACTGGGGACAAGGAAGGCTTCTTTTGGCTCTGCGACAGTGATTCCCAGTGACACTGAGAACATCACACCACACACTCCCACAAACTGAGGAGACCAGGGCGCTAACAGCACTAAGCACCAGACATTTTAACAGTGGGTGTGACGGTGCAGGCCTCTCAGCCCAGCACTCGGGGCAGGGGCAAGAGGACCACCAGGATTTCAAGGCCAGCCAGGGCTACTAGCAAGACCCTGCCTCAAAAAAAGAAAACAATTGTCATGGGAGTTCTTTAAACAAAACAAAGGCACACAAAACACTAAGAAGTAAACTCAGAACACACACACTTCATACGCATCTGTGGTGCTTGAAAGCAGTAGGAGAACAAAGGCTGGGGTGCACACCTATAATCGCAGCACCCGGGAAGCTGAGGCAGCAGGAGCACCACGAGTTCTAGGCCAGCCTGGGCTACAAAGTGAGTTCAAGGCCAGCCTGAACCGCATAGCAAAACCCTGTCTCAAAAAGACAAGATAAAAAGAGTAATAGGGGCTGGTGAGACAGCTCAGTGGTCTAAAGCACCTACTTAGAACAAGCTAAGCTAAGCAAAGCACAGGGACTGCGGTTCAATCCCCCAGCACCACATGCCAGCCAGCCCCGCCCCCTGGTGGGCTGAGCTGGCCACACACACACACACACACACACATAAATAAATAAAATTAAAAAAAAAAAAGAGATGAATTAACATGAATCAACCTCAAACCAGCCTTTCTTGTAAACAAGAAATCACGTACCCCGAGGAAGCACAGCCCAAGAATGTGAATTAAGTTCTGCAACACTAAATGTGCCTTACAGTTGTTTCTGTGTCTGGACTCCACCCTCTGTTCGCGCTCTGCTTTCATCTGTTCCGCAGGAGTGTCGTCCACATAAGCCTTCCCTTCTTTAATTAGCTTCTCTGCGTATTTCATGATAGTTTCAAAATGATCTGAGGTGTAAGTAAACTGATCTGGTTTGATATGCAACATTGCAACATCTTCCAAGATAACCTGCAATGAGAAATTACAACAGCATCAGCGCAGCTTTTGTGTTTTCTTAAGTGTTTTAATCCTTGATACTGTATTTTGAGCAAATGTAATATAGCCTGAAAATGGGTATGAAAGTTGTATGATAATAAGGTCAGGAAAAAAGGCTATTTGTGTTATTAGGCTCCACCTTCCAGCAGAGAGCCGGAGAGCGCTGACCCCGTGACGGAGCCATGTGCTTGGAAAGGCTGGTGGCTGGCGGCCGGGCCAGCAATCGTCTAACCCACTTCAAAAGCATCACAGCACCTCAGAATAAACAGGATAGAAGAGGAGAAAATCATAGCCTCCGGTAATGATTGAGTGTTTCATTCAAAAACTTAAACTATGTAACAAAAAAGAAACCTGCTTCCAGTGAGAGACTGTTAGCTTTAGGAGAAGCTTTTAGGTAAATTTTATAATAATCAGAGAAGAGTATTTTTCTTTGTTACAGGAGTTCTGTATCCTTGTCAGAGGTCACAGACATGGAACACACAGGTGAGGTGAGAAGAGCAGCCCGAGCCGTGCAGGCACCCATCACCCTCTAGGAGGAGGAGCTTTTCTGGGAAATGGCATCACTACACTTTTAATTACCTTCTCAAAATCTTCCTTTTCTTTCTCAGGATTTGTGTCATCAAATCTCATGATCAGTTTCCCTTTAAAGTTAACCTGGTAGTGCTGGTTCAGGAGAGCAGCCTTTGCATGCCCAATGTGTAAGTAACTACAACAAAACATTCCAGAGAGACTCGTTAGCAGGCTTTCACTTGATACTGCGATCTCACCTTGCTGAGGAGATGAGAACTAAACCCAACTTCCAACTGGTACTCCAGCCGACTTATAAAAAGATCTGGCTCTGACAGACAAGACAGTACAATATTTATAAAATAAACCTAAAAACTACTTCACACATACACTCTCACAAAGGAATGAAGTGCTTGCACACATCACAAGCTTACAAGTCTTACTCTTCGCAAGAGGAACAATCATTTACCAGAGGCAAATTCTTCCTGGTGCTCCCCAATGGCCCAGCTTTTCTAAGACCTGATGCTACTGGGCCAGACTCTTCCTGGGCTCCTGCTGGCAAGCAGCAGGATGACTAAGGCAGACAGCTCATGAGAAGCCGGAACCCAAGAAAAGCAATGGTACTTCCCTAAGCTTCGGTTTTCTCAAGCGCTAATAAAAACATCCTAACCAAGTGATTTCAAAGGGGCTGGAGACACAGCTCAGTGGCACAGTACCTGCCTGGCAAGCATAAGGTCATGAGTTCGATTCTGGTACCAAAAGAAAAAGGAAAAAAAACAGAAAAAGAAAAAACATGGACACCAAATAAATTCAAAGGTCTCTAGCACCAACACTCCACACATCAGGATCTATGAAAACAGTACTCTGTTCCCTTGGGAATGAGCTGATTTTTGAGAGGCATAGAAGAAGATCTCATCAAAGTATTTCTCTGTCAATGCAGTGGGCAAAAAGCAACATTCCACACCCCTACTGTTGAAAACATACCTGACCAGGCAGAAACCAAGCTGTGAATCAAAAAGATTAAAAAAAAAATCTCCAACCTTAGCCAGGCGCAGTGGGGCATACCTGTGATCCCAGCACTTGGGAGGCTGAGGCAGGAGGTTCACAATGAGTTTGAGGCCAGCCTGAGCCACAAAGCGAGGTCAAGTCCAGCATGAACTGCACAGTGAAACCCTGTCTCCAAAAGACAGGAAAAAAAAAAGTCTCCGAGGTATGAACAAACCATTTAAGTAACTCACACCCATTTTTATTACTTTCAGCTGCTAACAGCAGGAGCCGCACTTTAAGACAGCAACCCAGGTGCTCCTGATAGCGTCTGCCTGTCAGCCAGCTAGGCAGGGGGATGGGACTAGAAATCTGGGGAAGTAGTGAGACTGTCTCAAACACAAAAATAAGAGGAGTTGGGGACAAAGCTCAGTGCTCAAACTGGTCACCCAGTTGGATGGCACACCTCAGTTAATACAGTAAGAAAGGAAAAACAGAACATCCTTAAAATCAACCAATGTTAGAAATCCACGTCATTCCAGATAAATCATTTATTTCCAGAAGGGTTAACCTGCACCAGCTAACACAGACAATTACAATGTAATACAGCTAGAGTTATTCAAAACTTCTTACAAAAAACAAAGAACTGTATGTGCTATCCTAAAGATCTTCAAACAGAAAAAAAGACATCAGAAAAAAGCCAGAGAAATCTCTAAAAGTATGGATTTCATTCAGAATAATCTACTGAGCAGGGCACAGGGGCCTGGACCTGTAACTCCACCACTCTGGGAGACTCGGGCAGGAAGTCTGAGCCCAGCCTGGGCTAGGTAGCTGCTCCATCTAAACAAAGCCAAACAAAAACGTATCTATACTGGCTCATTACTTACGACAAATGATAGGCCATTTCTGTACTACTTCTACAACTTTCTGTAAACCTGAAATATTCTAAAATTAAATTCTTATTTTAAGTAAAATAAAGGACTGTAACTTCTCAGAAAGAAACAGAAATAATGTAGAGTTTTCAGCGAACACAATGCACTCAGCCACAACTATCCCCATGGTCGAAAGAGAGGAAGGCTAAATGCACTGCCTGCCCAAGAGCAGCCCGCTGTGTGCTCAGCTGCCACTCGCAGGCTAAGTGAACAGCAGCACCGAGGCATGGCAGGCGTGCAGGGACCCAGAGTGGGGCTCAATCTCCAGCATGAGGCATGACGAGGACGAAATCATAGCAAATCTTAGACTAAAATGAAGCTATGTGTGAATGTGAAGTAACACAAGAACACAAGGACTACATCAGAGTCCCAGGATACTGAAGGCACAGCCTAAATAAAACAGCTAAGACCCACGCTGTATTAGTGAGCAGGGATCCTGAAGTTGGCTCCTGCCCCACGTAACAAGAGTATAATGCTTAGTTTAGCTGCAGACTCCAGCCGGATGGTGTGGGTTTAAATCTGGCAGGTTACTGAAGTGTATGGCTCAGCATCTGAGAGCACTTGTAAAACAGAGATAGCCCACCTTCCTCACAGGGCTGTTAGGGTTACTGGGTAGTGTCTGCTCCTAACAGGGCACACACATGCCCAAGTGTGGGAGCACACGCTCATCTCAGCACATGGAAGGCTGAGGCAGAAGGACCACAAGTTCAAGGCCAGCCTGGCAGCTCAGCATGACCCTGTCTCAGAAGTGCAGGAGATATAGCTGAGCACAAGGCCCTACGTTCAATCCCTAATATGTGTCTGTGTGTATCTGTCACACACATACATACACCAAGCAAAAATGAGCCTTTTGTCCTTTCTGTACACAGGAAAAACAAAGAACACTTTAGCAGTGTAAGGCGGATATGATCAAAATTAGGAACTCAACTACTGATTTATATACTAAATTCCAAAACTGAAACAGAGCTAAGAACACCGTCTCTGAATTAAGACATTAACTTAACAGGGACAAATATAGTTCACACTAAACGTATGACTGTGAGAAGCTCACTATGCTAAGAAGTAACGGTGACAGAAACACATGATGATTCACTATGGGGAAAAGTGTTTTCTTTTTAAAAGTGGTTATCAAAGCATGAAGGACATGCCTCAAAAGAACAACAAACGCTCACCAAGTGCACAGAACAGAACACTGGCCAGCAGGGGCCATGCCATCAGCGAGAATGAAGCCAGTAAGCTGAGCATTATTTATGGCTGTCACACTGAACTACCCATCACTCGATGACTGATTCTGCTAATTTTCCACAGTCACTATTTCTCTTTCATTTCTTTCCTGTGAGCTTGAGCCTAGCCTGAACTACAAAGGGAGACCATGTCTTCCAAAAAACAAAAAAAAAAAAAAGGAGATAAAATCTGAAACTCCTGAAATTAAACTGAGAAGAGTCATGTTTCTATAAAGCTCAGCACAGCACTCTGCTATCAGGCAGGCTCCAAGAGGGGCTGGTGGCTTTCAGCCCACACACCCTACACTGATGTCGCTGGAAGACCAGAGCCTGGCCTGGCACTTGAGGCAGCTGGGCAGGTGCTCAAACGCCGCCCGGCTCCGGGAGGGCCAGGTGAGGCCTACTCAGCCAGGCCGGAGTGATTCAGACACTGTTCACACACACCAACAGTTAAAGGGGCTGGGAAGCCCACTAAGAACAGAATGAGCTAGGTACAACTTTGTAAGACTCTCATTCATTTGAGAAAAAATACCCACCATGACATCAACTATTAATTGAAAGGATTGCTAAGAACATAAATACAACTCCTAATTAAAGAAAAGTCCCCAGCGAGGAGCAGTGTGCATGCCTGTAATCCCAGCACTCAGGAGGCTAAGGCAGGAGGGTCACTGTGAGTTTAAGACCAGCCTGGGCTACTAAGGGAGCTCAATGCCAGCCTGAACTGCAGAGTGAGATCCTGTCTCAAAAATATAAATAAATGTTATGTCTCCAAATCTCAAAATTATATAAAAATTATATCTTATTCATGGATGCCTGATGTATATTTAAAATGTTCTATTTTTAGGTATTTTCTTTTTGCAACTAAAATTCTGGAATGAATTAAACTGTTAAGCTACCTCTGATGGATGGCATACCCTACCATCCAACATTCCAGGAAGCTGAAGCAGGAGGATCACAAATTCAACATCAGTCTGGGCAACTTAGCAAGACTTTGTCTCAATTTAAGGGGGTGTGCACAACTGTAACCCCACCACTTGGGAGGCTAAAGTGGAGGATCCCTGCAAGCTCTAGTCTGAACTGCATGGTAAGACTGTGTCTCAAAATGGGTTGGGGGGCTGTGCAGCTCCGTGCAAATACTTTAGGTTCAATCCTTAGTTCTAACAACACAAGCCTCTTTCATTCCATTAGGGAACTAAAACTGCCCATTAAATACACACTAGGTAGTAAAGAATTGAGAAACTACTAAAATGTTTAGAATTTTAATCCCTGCTCTGAAAATACTAGTCATGTCCTTCTATACCAACTTATTAAAAATATTTGACCCCTGATTTAAAATTCGCCACAGACCAACTCCATGGCTGTAGGAGGTCTCCTTACCCACTGGCTTCCGGGGGAAACCTGACGGTAACCTTGCCCATCTCTGCACCTGGAAGCTCCACAAACTTCCCCACATCTTGTTTCTTCTCTGGTGCCTAAAAACAATGTCCACAACATGAAGTCACACAGCGTAATGCTTAGGGATACATTCACTCAACAAATAGTTCCCATTATGTGCCAGGCACCCTGACAAGATGGCCAGGACCACCCCGAACTGGAGGATCCTGAGCTGGTGTGGAGTATAACACACGTGTGGGTGTCATCAGCGCGCCAGGGAAGGGATGCAGCAGAGGCTCTGAGGAAAAACTCGGAGGAGCACATAGCAGGCTGGCCAAGGAGTGTGTGGCCATGCAGCTAGAGGAAAGGGCCTGGGGTGCACAGGGCAGCCATGGCTAGCAAGGCAGGCCATGGCCAGCAGTGTCGGGCCAGGGCTGAGACTAGACCACAGGTGTGCTTATCCCCGGCTCTCACATTCTGGGCCACAAAGAGTGCTCAGGGGCAAAGGAATGATCTATCTGCATTTTCTAAGACAGTGTCCTGGACAGTTCAGAGAAAGAAGCCCACAAAGCTCAGGCCGAGGGTAGGCACCTAACTACACAGAGGTCAAGGAGGCCTCCAGCAAAAGCAGTACCATGGGGAGGGACAGAAAGCAGACCTCTGGCTATGAGAATAATGGGAATTCTTAGCAATTAGATCAAAAACTGGTGAAGGATTAACGAAGACTTCTAGGAAAACCGACTGAGTAAGCTGTGGCATCTTAACTATGCAGATAGCAGCTGGCAAAACTTCACTGCACCTAAAAACTGTCAACAAACACCACTGGGTGATGCCTGACATGGAAAGCTAATCTTGAGAGAAGACTATTTGGGGCTGAGGACATTCCCACTGTTCTCTCCATACTACTCTGCCTGAAAGATCAGGAGAAGATTGCAGAACCCAGGACTCAAAGGTGCAAACACCAGAGCCCAGTGTGGAGGTGCGTGTCTGCAATCCCAGTCCTGGGGAGGCAATGCCAAAGCAGAAAAGCCCCCAAGTTGGAGACCAGCCTGTCCTGCAAAGTGAATTCAAGGCCACTTTCAACCATGTAACAAGACTGTCTCAAAAACAGAAACAAAGGGGCCGGGGAGATGGCTCAGTAAAATAAGCACTTCCCTGGCAAGCGCAAGGGCCTGAGTTCAGTCCCTGGTTCCACAAAAAAAAAAAAAAAAAAGGAAACAAATCCAGAGCACAGAGGCAAGTGACAGGCTTCATGCTAGAGTACTGTGGCAGCATGTGTGAGAGCCTGGGCTAAATCCCCCAATACAGACAAAAGCAGAACCATACACAGAAGATTCAGGAAGACAGCTGCACACCTATGAGACTGAACGCAGCGTGGCTCCACAGCGATCAGTGCTTTGCCAGGCACTGTGGCCCAAGCGTGGCCCGTGGCTCCCATCCCAACCACTAGAAGGCTTCCATGGGAGGGTTTCAAGTTCACAGCCAGGTCGAGCACCCTGGCAATATCATATCTCAAAACACACAGGGCTTGGGATGTAGCTAAGTGCTCCCTAGGTTCGATCCCCAGCACCAAAAGGGGGGGAAAAAAAAGATCAGGGCTTTTATATTTTATGTAGTTAGTTGAACAGAAAAACTCAAACCAAGACTTAAAAGTGGTGGAGTCTAAGATCTTTCGCTCATTTCTGAAAAGAAAATAAGCTTTGTGAGCAGAAATTATCATTTTTGTTTTGAAACCTGTGGTTTCAGCTAGACTGAGGTGTCAGGGTCACAAAGAAAGGTGGCAACTGGGCTGGCCAGATAGCTCAGTGGACTAAAGTGCCTGCTTAGGCAGAGCACAGGGGTTGGGGTTTGATCCCTGGCACCACAAGCCCTGGCGGCCCCACTGAGACAGCAACTGAGACTGGGCGTGGTGATGCCCACCTGTAATCCCAGTGCCTGGGAGGCTACAAACAGGAGGATCACCATGAGTCTGATGTACATAGCGAGACTCTGTAGATACTACTAAAGGAAGGAAGGAAGGAAGGAAGGAAGGAGCAAGGAAGGAGAGAGAAAATAAAAAATGAAAGGCAGGCAGCTTACCGTCCTGGCCTGGCTGGCTGAGACGCCCCACTTGGCACTGACTGACTGGAAGACCCGCTGGGCCTCGAGAAAGCTGAACCAGCGCTTCACGTGCACCGGGCCTTTACTTTGCTTCAGCTCTTCCTGCCATGCAGCATTTTCTGTCAGCAAACACAATTCCAAAACCATTCAAGAAATGTCCAAATTTAGAATTGTCATTGTTAAGTAAATTAGATTAGCTTTAAGTTGTGCTTCTGCAGCAAAATGTTTTTTTTTTATTTATTTTTATTAATTACATGTATTTATTGTGTGTGTGTGTGTGGCCAGCTCAGCCCACCAGGGGGCGGGGCTGGCTGGCATGTGGTACTGGAGGATTGAACCGCGGTCCCTGAGCTTTGCCAAGCTTGTTTCAAGTAGGTGCTTTAGACCACTGAGCCATCTCTCCAGCCCCTGCAGCAAAATGTTTAAAATCTAGGCATACATACAAATGTTTGCTAATATTCTAATGTGTTTTCCAGAATTAAGTTCAATTCACTGACATTCCCTAACACAGGATCCCATCTTTACCTCCTGCTACATTGTAAGGCCAAAACTTCATTTCACAATTAAGGAAAATTTTAAGAACATCAAGTAAAGAGAACAAGAAGTCACTTGTGGCTAGGTGTGGTGGTACAAACCTGTAAGGTAAACTGTGCACTCCGGGAGGCTGAGGCAGGAGGGCTCCAAGTTTGAGCCTGGCCTCAGCACGTTAGCAGGACTCGGCCTTCAAACATAAAAAGTCAAAGGGCTGAGCAAGAGGGTGCTGCCAAAGGGGCCAGCGGCTCCTTGGCAGAAGCAGGACAGCAGCTCCAAAAGAAGGGCCATGGGAGGCCCAGGGGCAGCAGACACAGGGACCACCTACAGCACAGGGCAGTGGGAAGGGCTGTCTCTCTGTGAGGAAGGTTGGTACACTGGCCCATGTACTCTGTAAGAAATCATTGCCTAAGAGGACGCGTTGCTATTAAAGCCTCTCATTTTGAACACACTTAGCCTATCATTCTTGCCACTTTTGAAGCTCTTCTAGAAGTCTTTCTTCATGTCTTTACAAGGTATGATCAAAAATATGTTAGATGCTGCTGCCAATGCCGGCCACAGAAAGGAGGCTGGTAAAATATCATGGTATATTCTCATCCCTCTTATTCGCCAGATCTGGCAGCATTTGACTGCTGGCTCTTCCCAAATTCCAAATGACCATAAAAGGTAAAACATGCTGAATCCATTCAGGACATTAAGGGGCTGGGGAGATGGCTCAATGGAATAAGCATTTCCCTGGCAAGTACAAGGGCCTGAGTTCAATCCCTGGTTCTGCAAAAAAAAAAAAACAAAACCCAATAAAACAAAGTTTTACAAGCATTTCCCTGGCAAGCGCAAGGGCCTGAGTTCAATTCCCAGTTCCACAAAAAATAAAGTGCTAGCCCCAGTCAGCCTGCCCTCACCTTGCCCGCCAGTGCTGTCCTCTGCTCAGGGCTGCCCTGTAAGGCCAGACTGACTGGAGTTGCCATTCCCATTCAGGACATCGAGAGAAACAGGATGGCATAATTAAAGACACTTGGGAAAAGAGGACTCCCCAGATCTGCTTCAGAAAGTGGCAAGAATGAGGGCAGCAGTGCATTCAGAGCAGGAGGGAGTGTTATGAGGGGGACTCATGGCAATGTGTCTTTTACCGTCACATATGTTTTTAACCTAACCATTCACTGTGAGGGTTTAAATCCAGAAGTCCCCCAAAGCTTCAGGAATTCAGAGGTGGGAGTGACTAGATCTTAGGCATTGGATCCTAGGTTTAGCACAATTCTGGGTGTGAGTGGCACCAACCAATAGGCTCACAGCCTGGATGGAATACTAATGGAAAGAAGGAGTTGTGCTGTCTCCCACCGCCATGCCATGAACTGCTTCTTCTCCGCCACGCTGTCCTGCCTCGGAGGCAGCTGATTATGGACTAAAATCTCTACTAAGAGTTAAAATATAACTGTCTTCCTTTAACTAGTGAGTCTCAGGTATTTTCTCCCAACAAGAAAGTACCTAGGACACTACATTTCTAGACTGTGCCTCATATACACATATGCAGAACTATGTAGATACACACACATGCATATGCATATGCATATACGGAAGTGTACACACTTCTTTTTTTTTAATTATTTATTTATTTTTTATTTATTACATTTATTTATTGTATGTGTGTGTGGCCAGCTCAGCCCACCAGGGGGCGGGGCTGGCTGGCATGTGGTGCTGGGGGATTGAACCGCGGTCCCTGTGCTTTGCCAAGCTTGTTTCAAGTAGGTGCTTTAGACCACTGAGCCATCTCTCCAGCGCCCGTACACACTTCTTACCCACTAAAATGTTAGACGATTAAAATGGAATATCTTAGGCACAATGGTACACATCTATCATCTCAGGTACTTGGGACTTAGGAAGAAGAGAGAGGAAGAGAGAAAAAGGGAAGGAAATCAGAGTATTTTAAATGGAATTATTAGCTGATACCTTTTAGGGTGGCCCAGACACAAAAATCTGCTAAGGTCAAAGAGTTCCCAACTAAGAATGTTCTCAGAGACAGGCAATGATTAAGCTCGTTGATTGCAGAAGTAAACAAATCACATGAAGACAATTTTGTAGCACTAAACTCCAGCCAATGATCAATCTGTGAATATAAAGAAAAGAAATGTACTCCATAGTGTGGCTTTAAAAAAGACCAAGAGAAATGATGCTAGTTACCCGGAGCAACGTGCACCACTGCTGCAAGACTGCGTTCCTCAGCCAGAACCAGACAGTTCTTACCTCCAATTTTAGAATTCACCATTATGTGGAGTTGATTCTGGCTGCCTGGGATATGCAGTGGCACTCAGATAAATGCTACATTTTGTTGTGATTTTTTTATGTCAGGGGTACACGACAAAGAGGTGACTCATGAAAGAAAAAATACTGAGAACTGGTGGGAGGAAAGAGTAATCAACTGACCTAACCCAAAACATAGTATCTGGCCAAGCGGATTAATCTCTCAAAGAACAAGCAAGTAAGCAGTAACAATCACTTGTGTTCTGAATTTTACTAAGTTTAGGAAAGCTAGAGTAGAATTCATATTCAGGAAAACCAGCAACTCTGGAGAAGTACTGAGAGTTCTGGTACTGGCAGCCGCGTCAGGCATGCATCTCGACGCTATGCTGAGCGCCAGACCAGGAGCAATGCAGCTCTTGATTCTTGTAGGCCCCTGCTCTACGCAAGGCTGGATGGACGGGCTCTGCAGTCCACCAGCTACAAGATGCCAGGGCTCGCAGAGGGGAATGAGGGGGGCCTGGGAATAAATATTCAAAGTAAGAACTATAAAAAAGGGCCTCTTTTCCTGCCATGCTAGAATTTAGGGGTCATGCATACTTGGCCATCCTCCTGAGCTACAACCTCCACCCGAGAATTTTCCTGAAAATTAAGAACAAAATGAACATTTCTTAACTTGCTCTATAACTAACATTCTGTTCCTATGCTCAAGAAGAATATTCTCATGAGATGACAAGTCTCCCAAAACCCCAGCATGACAGTTGGGCAGAGTAGTACCATTCCTGTAATACCAGCTGCTCAAGAGGTCAAGGCAGGAGGACTCCAAGTGTGAAGCAAGCCTGGGCAACTCATGGCAACTCTATCTCAAAAATAAAAAGTGAAAAGGACCAGGAAGGGGCCAGGGAGATGGCTCAGTAGAATTAGTGCTTGCCTGGCAAGCACAAGGACCCGAGTTCAATCCCTGGTTCCACCAAAAAAAAAAAAAAAAAAAAAAAGGACTGGGGATGTAGCTCAGTGATAGAATGCTTATCACTCATGTGCATGTCCTGGGCTCAAGAACTCATATTGCGTAATACCAATGAAACCAGAAATATAAAGCACACAGCACACACTGTTTGCATTTACCTCAGCGTGTTCCATCAGGTTAGCACCATACAGCCCGGCTGTACTTGCAACTCTAGCCAGGTAGCGAAGGATGGAATTAACTTCCGTGAAAGCCACATTTCTAGAACACAAACAGAGGTTAGATATTATGGCTGCTCTAGCAAGCCAGTAGTCATAAGACATAAGGAAAAATGTAAAAGCATAAATCTTACTATATTTAATGTTCTCTACTAATATTGGTTTTGTTTGTTTGTTTGTTTTTTGGCAGAACTGGGGATTGAACTCAGACCCTTGCACTTGCCAGGGAAGTGCTTATTCCACTGAGCCATCTCTCCGGCCCCCAAAGAACTGAGCTAGGGCCAGGCCCCCACTACTAATATTGTTTTAACAGTCTAAGCACTTGCCTGGCAAGCGCAAGGACCCAGGTCTGATCCCTAGTACCACATACCATGCTGGCCCCAAAACCCTGGCAGGGTGGTGCACAACTGTAATCCCAGCGCTGGGGAGGCTGAGACAGGAGGATCACTATAGTCTGAACTGTATAGCAAGACCCTGCACCAAATAAATACATAAATAAATAAATATTTTTTAAAATACCTCTACTAATCCCATTCTTTTTTCTATCACATGGCAATCTGTTCTGAAATAGCCATTTAAATTCACTATTCCCCTTCTCAACAAATGTTCCACAATTTTCTTTCTTTTATTTTAAATAACCTGTGTAGCCTTGGAAATATAAACACATAACTGGGATATGGAGAAAACAGGGAGTCAAAGTAAAAGCCAAGAAGCCAAATGCCGTATGTGAGCATGGGGCACATGAGCACCAGGCATGGTGGCTCACCCATGTAATCCTAGCACTTTGGGAAGCTGAAGCAGGAAGACCACTAGCAACAAGACCCTGTCTCAAAATTTACAAATATGTAAGGGCTAACTAAAGGGTGCAGTTCAGGGTCAGGGTACTGGATTCAACCCCAACACTAAGAAAAAAGGAAAAGAGGCTAGTTCTAGACACTTTCAGAGAAAGAGGGCAGCTCGAACAGCTTCAAACCCTGCCACACCAGGACCAATGGCTGCTCCTGCAGCCCAGCTACCCAGAAGGCTAAAGCAGGAAAATTAGTTCAGAGGTTCCAGCCCAGATGACACTGCCCAACCCTGCCTGCAAAACACCCAAGCAGACACTGTCAGGATGGATTAAAAACCCACTACAAGGTCATAAGATAAAGAGACTAAAGAAACACATAGTAATAGCAATAAAATTTCCAAAGCAGATTTGAAGAAGTGGACTTGTAAGTACAGATCAATTAAAAAAAAAATTTAAATTTCAGATTCTCCCAAGGATGTGAAACACCGATGGAACCCACACTCTGGGTGGCAGAGGGAAGTGAGCTGTACTAAGGACTGGATGAAGGCAGGTTCCAGAAAGCAGACTCTCAGGCCTCACTCTGCTAGGCGACCCTCTGAGCCAACGCTGGCCGAACTGGAGGTGTTCTCAGATAACTGTGGAAGCCAGAGGATGAAAGAACCAAGGTAGAACCCCAGAGGTTCCCCACATGACCAGCTCAGCCAGATCACCCATGAATAAAACATATAACTTAGCAGCTTTCATCTCTTTTAGTTCAGAAAAAGGCCAGTCATTTAGAAAGCCTTAAGCAAACAGTGGCGAAGATAAATAAAAAATGTAACTTGGATGGCTGGGGAGATGGCTCAGTGGAATAAGTGCTTCCCTGGCAAGCACAAGGGTCTGAGTTCAATCCCTGGTTCCACCAAAATAAATAAACAAATAAATAAATAAATAAAATGTAACTTGGACAAATCAGCGAAAGCTTAAAGATACATTTAAATCTTCTGGGCATGATGTGCATACCTGCATTCCCACCAGCCCAAGGAAAGATCATCACAAATTCCCCAGCCTGGCTACTGGTGGGCCGCTGAAGGCTACCTCAAACTACACAGAAAAATGCATCTATAACACCAGAAACAAATTTAAAAAAATGAAAATAAAGAACCAAAACTAAAAGGACTGGGGAATGCAGTTCAGTGAAGAGGCCGTTTTTGTGCTGCATGAGTGGTACTGGGCTCAGTCCCCAGTACCCCTCGATCCTTCCCCAGTCTCCCTTCTCCAGTGCTGATGTCTATGCTGTGGACAGACCACGTTTATTTCCTGTCCTACTTGACTTTAGCTAGTTCTAATTTCCCACCAAAATAATTATTATACAATTAAAACCGTAGATAAAAACCCTTTTCTGCACTCCTAATTTCTTAAGCAAGATATGAGTGGAGCCACACAGCTAGTTGACAAGCAGAAGCCTCTGCATTCTGTTCCTCAGGATGATGAAGCATAATTCTTTCTAGGAACAGCCTGCCTAATTTGCAAGTGAAACCAGCATACAATATTCAATGCTGAATGTTTTTAAATGCTAGTACTGAAAATTAAGATGCAAAAGCACTTACTCCGAAACACGAAGAACATTCTCTTTCCCTTCTTCCACAGAAATGCTGACATCACCTTTCACGTGCTCTGCCGCCAGCAAGGCTTCTGAAAAGGACAGGATGAGAAGATATTTCTTTAAGACCAGGTGGGAGTTGCAACTTGAATCATAAAGCAGTGAGAATGAGTCAACAAGCCAACAGTAAGGCCTGCAAAGGACAAAAGTTATTGCCCAGTAGTCTGCAGACAGGAAGTCTAGTCTCTTGTCTTACAGAAATAACAATCCACCAATAGCACTCTGCATGCTAAAGTGCTCAGCTTCCAGATCCTGACACTCAAATTCATCTTTTCATGCCTCAAAAGACAGGAAGCAAGTAGAACACGGTCTTGTATAAAAATGAAGTGCTGGCCAGGGGTGGACAGTGAGGCAGGAGGATCACCGCAAGTACAAGGCAAGCCTGAACTGCATAGCAAGACCGTCTTAAAAAGACAAAGCAAGGGGCCGGGGAGATAGGGCCTGAGTTTAATCCCTGGTTCTGCCAAAAAAAAAACAAGACAACACATATAAAAATACAAAATACAAGCTACCATCAAAACCCCTAGTGCCGGACGGATTGCTACTGCTAAGTAGAATGCTAACTGCTGTACAACTGCTATAACCTTTCTAAGACCCCCGAGGAGTTCCTTTCACTCCCACTGAAGAGGACACTTGAGAGGTTCAATGGCCAAGCCCAGCGCCACTTGCTACTCAGATGGCAGGCAAGACGTGAACGTGGGCCTGAAGCAGTCCACACCTCAGACTGCAAAAACACGATAAGAAAGTCTACTGAATCATTCATTAATCCTCTGTCCCCTGATCTGGTTATGTGCCAACTACTGGAACTCGTTTCTAAATATCATGCTCTACTGGAAACAGGACCCTGTCAGGGAAAGCACAAAAGAAGCCTGGAGAACTGTGCTGGAAACCTACCTGTGGTTTGAGCCCTCTAAAGCCTATGCTGTAGAGTAGTTCCCACTGTCACAGAACTAAGAAAGGGGGCCCTAACGAGGTACTTAGTTTGGGAGGCCTCAGCCCTCAGGTATGGACTAACACTGGGCTGGCCCCTTCCCTTCTCATGCAATCTCTCGGCTCTCCTGCTGTTAAGACACAGCAGGGAGGTCGTCGTCGTAGCCAGATCCTTTGATTCTGGGTTTCTCTGACCCCAGAACTAAAGCTAATAAATTCCTGTTCACTGTAAGTGAGCCACTGAATAGTATTCTGTTGGAGTAGCACAAAGCAGAAAAGGACACCAAGGAATAATCAAAAGACATGAGAGCTATGCCAAAAGGACCCAGAAGCCAGGTTGGAAAGGTTCCTGCTGACAAATTAGGGCAACTTGACCCTTAAAGTAAATGAGATATTTTAGCACAGCCACACTACAAAATGCAGTCCAACAGATAAAAGGAATGAACCCGTTATAGGCAACAAAACAGATAAATTGCAAAAGATCTATCCTAGGTGGAAAGGGGAACACATGATGATGTGGTCCACGCAAAACTGTAGAAGCAAAGCAAAGTGACCAAAAGCAGATCACCACCAACAGGTGCAAGGGTGGGAGAGTGATGACTGCAAAGAGGCATGCGGACGTTTTTTCTGAAGTGACCAAATAATTACGCTGTCACTGTTGCAGTGGAGATTTATATACTGTATCACTTCATATCTGTCCATAAATCTGTGTACTTATAACTGGTACCCTAAATAACACAAAACTAAATTTTTAAATTGAAATTAATTTTTAAAATAGAAAATAAAAATAACACAACTTACCGCTGTGAATTCTTATCTTATTTCATTTGTGGTGCTAGAATTAAACCCAGAGCGCCTTGTACATGCTAGGCAAGCATTCTTTTTGTTTTCTGGTCTTTTGAGACAGGGTCACACAGTTTGTCCTGCCCCTGAACTCACTATGCAGCTCAGGCTGGCCTTAAACTTGTAGTAATTCTCCTGCTTCAGCCTCCCAAGTGCTAGGATTACAGGTGAACCACGATGCCCAGCTTTAGCCATGAATTTTTTTTTTTAATTTTTATTTATTTATTTATTTATTTGAGAGA